CACCCTAGCATCTACTCCATCTAGGACCTGCTGGAACTCGTGAAGGGACTGGTCCTGTGGAACAATACCCGCAGTATCTCCATGACTCAGGATGACAACAGGATATCCCAGCGGAGTTCCAGTGAGGATCCAGGGATGATGGTGTACCAGAAACCAGAGGCCTTGAACCAGACCAGTGACTCATTGCAATGAACATTTGTAAAGCTGATAGGACAAAAGGGTAAACTACATGACACTCCGAGGTCCCCAATGCCACCAGGATGAATGAAGAGGTGTTGGGAAGGCAAGAAAGAAGGAGAAACAAAGAGGTTTTTTGTTATTTTTGTTTTGTTTGGGGTTTTTTCTTTCCTTGCTTTTGTTCTTATTTTGTTTATTTGCTGGCTTGCTTACTTGGTTTTAATTTCTTTTCAGGGTGTGCTGTAGGAGGAGAAAAGAATTTTGGGGGACTGGGAGGTGAGCAGAATTGGGGTACATGATGCGAAACTGCCAGAGAATCAATAAAAGAAATTAAACTTAAAAAACCATTAGGTTTATGTCTGCCTTTTTTGGTTTGGTTTGGTTTGCTTTCTGGAGGTCTTGTATCTAGTCTAACTTTAATGCTTCCTTTTGCTTTAACTGAATGCTCTATGATAATATTTTTATTATTTTAACGATTCTCCTTATATTCTTGAGTTTTCTTAGTAGTTTCTTTAGTGCTTAACATAAATACACAGGCTGGCAATGTAGCCCAGTGGTAAAGCACCTGCCTACTGTCTGTAGGTTCCTGGGTCAAGGCCCAGTGCTTAAAAAATAAATATATGTATATATGTGTACATATGTATATAATATATATTGTCAAAATATACTTCCTTTTCATACATATGCAAACCTGATGAGATGCAGAACTGTTCTTTCATTATAATCTTCCTTCTCTCTGTGTTCTATTGATCTGATGGTATATAAATATATTTTACAAATTCAAAAATGTCATAGTTATTACATTAAATAACTATGTCCTTTTGAACAGGGTAGAGGAAAGGATACAAATGAAATGATGCATATGTATCAGTAATATAATATATAATATCCAGGTATATGAACAGAACAAGAGAGAGACAGAATTTTATCAATACCTATTTACCATTTCTTGTTCCACTCATCAGTTCTTGTGGACTCTTACTACCACCCTGAATCATTTCCTTACTCTAACATAGATTCATTCATATCTAAGTCCTTTATGCCATATTATATTGTATCTCTTTTAAAATTATTTACTGGAGGATGAGCTTGGGCCTGCTTCAACTTAATATGCCATGTTTTGCTGACTTCCATTGAGGCCGTACACCTTCTGGAGATGAAGAAGGAGTGAATGGGGTGGGGGTAGAAGGGAGGTGGGGGGGATGGGAAGAGAGGAGAGAGGGGAAACTGTGGTGGTATGTAAAACAAAAAAACTAATAAAGAGATTCTGAAATACTAAAAAATTTACTAGAAAAAAAGACCAAAATGTACATACTACATTTTCATAATTATATAGTGATATTTCCTTTGTTCTTTGAGGTAGAGACAACTATATCTGAATTGCTGTTTGAGACTTTTTTAACATTGTCTTTTTTTTTATTAATCCTTCTCTCATACAATATATCCCAACCACAGCCTCCCCTCCCTCTACTCCTCCCAGTCTCCCCCACATCCCCAAGACTGAAGAACTTTCTTTTTGTGACTGGGTGACCTCACTCAGGATGATTTTTTCTAGTTCCATCCATTTGCCTGGGAATTTCAAGATTCCATTGTTTTTTTTTTCCACTGAGTAGTACTCCATTGTGTAAATGTACCACATTTTCTCTATCCATTCTTCAGTTGAGGGGCATTTAGGTTGCTTCCAGGTTCTGGCTATTACAAACAATGCTGCTATGAACATGGTTGAACATATGTCCTTGTTGTATGAACATGCATTATTTGGGTATATGCCCAAGAGAGGAATTAGTGGATCTTGAGGCAGACTGATTCCCATTTTTCTGAGCAACCGCCATACTGACTTCTAAAGTGGTCTTACAAGTTTGCACTTCCACTAGCAATGGAGGAGTGTTCCTTTTTCTCCACATCCTCTCCAGTATAGACTGTCATTGGTGTTTTTGATTTTAACCATTCTGTCTGGTATAAGATGGTATCTCAGAGTTGTTTTGAGTTGCATTTCTCTGATGGCTAAGGATTTTGAGCACTTTCTTAAGTGTCTTTCAGCCATTTTAGATTCCTCTGTTGAGGATTCTCTATTTAGTTCTGCACCCCACTTCTTAATTTCATTGATTGGTGTTTTGGTGGCTAGCTTTTTGAGGTCTACAGCCATACCACCCTGAAAGGGCCTGATCTAGTCTGCTTTCACTTTTGCATAGCTTGAAACACAGCATCAAGGTATCCATGGTGGCTTGCATAAGCTGTGGAAGGAAAATGGGTCCTTAATCCATATTAGCATTTTTGCCAAATGTTAGTGAGCTCTCCCAGCACTAAATCAAAAAGAGAGGCTACTGTGAGCCTAGCCTATATATGGGCTAAATGGGTGGGGCTTTGGTACCACTGACACCCTGGTGAGAAGGGATTTCTTTCTTAGAGGCTGGCTAAGGAATCTGATGCTTTTTCCTGAATCTTAGGAGTAAAGACACAAACAGTTTCCTAGATTAAGATCTTGTATCAGTAGAATTAAGGCATGGGTGAATATTGATAGCTTGCTAAAGTAAAGCAGGGGTCAGTAGGCTGCACTCTCCTGAGTTGGCTTTTAGAAGAACCAGTGACACTCAGTCCTGCTTGTGAGTGGGGGCAGACATACTGTGTCTCCTACTCAGTACATGCCTTTTGAAGCTCTGAATGTGGTCTATTTGCAAGGCTCTTCTCCTTGTCAGAAAGTCCTGCCATAAGAGATAACTATAGGGAGCTACCTTTTGTGCAGGCTTATACACAATGGACTTTTGTAACTTCAGTATCTCAGTATTTTATCTCACCCCCTTAAAATCCCTCATGTCTTTCCTTTTCTCATACTTGACAGATACTTTTCCCATCTATGTATCAGCCAAGGCAAATTTTGTTTTTTCATTTTCCCCAAATATTTCTCAGAATCAGCACCTTCTATTCTTACACTCGCATTTATCATCTCTCTCCAGGAGATAACATACGAGCTATTGCAACATCTAATGAGTGTTTATGGTATGACAGGTCATTTGCAGATACTATATAATTTAAATTCCAAAACAAACATTCTTATCCTCAGTTTTTTATTTAATTTGAGACACTTGAAAACTGGAGAAATCAAGAGATTTATACAAGGCCACACAAATAGTAAATAAAAGGATCCAGATATGAACCCTGACAGTCTGACATATTGCTGTCTTCTCTACCATTATTTTCTACTTCCCATCAATGCTAGCATACAATTCAGCTTTCTTTAGGAAGCAACTTCTGATCACTCAGTAAAATATGATCCCCTTGGAGTCATCATTATGACATTCACATTTTTCTCTATTGTGTTATTGCTCTTTAAAATAAATACTGTATTTGCTGATTTCATATCTCCTTTTTTAGCCTAGTACATGAAAAGTAGCTATCAATAGTGTTGGCAACATCAATGGAAAGTAAATCATCTATAGAAGTGAATCCTCCTACAATGTTGAGATATCCTATATTCCAAATTTGATCAGAGTACAAGTGAAAACAAACTCTAGGGCATCACCATATATTAAAGGGCATTCTGAGGAACATAGCTCGGAATACAGCAATAGTATATTCAGGAAAAAAACTTATTAAGCAAGACATGACTCCTAATCTACTTGAATAGAGAAAAGATCTCATATTTGCAAACAATTCTTCAGCCCTAGATTAGAACATCTTTACTGAGTTGGAGAGACAGCTCAGCAGTAAGAGCATCTGATACTCTTGCAGAAGACCTTGTTTCAGTTCCCAGAACCCATGTGGCAGCTCACAAGCATCTGTTACTCCAATTCATGAAGGGACAATGACCTCTTCTGGCTTCTACAGTCACAAGACATGAATGGGATATGTATACATTCATGCAAGCAAAATGCTCAAACACATAAAGTAACTTAAACAAATCTTTAAAAGTAGAGCCATCTTGAAAGAAGAAAGAAAATTACACCCTAAGAGGTTTGATTGCCTTCAGTTTAATAAGGGAATATTCCATCTATTAAGAAAGTACTCGTATATTTCTAATGAAATAATATGATAATGAAACTATTGGTATCTGAACTATTTTATCCATTAATCCTTGAGCAAATATCAATAAAGCTAGTGTGAGCAAGTCAATGTTACAAGAATTGGAAGAGTCTGATGCTAAAAGTCTCTGCACTGTGACATTAATTCCTAAAAGAGAAAGGTCTTTTTTGTTTGTTTGTTTGTCTCACAGACACATTTTATCTTAATCTTAACTATAATCCACACCAAACACAATGATAAAATGGTAATAGTTTTCTTTTCCAGCTGAAATAGCAGAAGATCCCTTCCCTAGAAAGACATCTGGCTTTTTCTTGAATTTGTTTCCTTGTTTGCTTTTTACTTTTTATAGAAACATACAAGTGAATAGCAGGGTTCAGGGTTAGTGTTTCATAGGAAACAGTGAGCATGGATTGCTACCTCACAAAAGCACAAAGCGTTGGCTGTTCATGTTGTGTACTTAGACAACTTGGTTAAGGCAGTGAGACCAAACTCATAATTAAGAAGTAAATCATGGAGCTGCAGTTTGGAATCTTAAAATCATCCCATTCCTCGTTAACTTTTCACCAACTGGTTTGTCTTTTGAGATTTTTTTTTCTTATATCAATTATTTCATTATAGGTTATAAAGTAAATTTATGTTTCTGTTTATCCTTCTCAATGATCAAATTCCAGTATTTTTCAAGTAGTTTTAATACTTTTAAATGTTTTCTTTAAATTTTAAAGATCAAAAATTGATGAATGTAAGTATTATAATACATTTTTAATGAAAAATTATTAATCTTGGATTTTCTTTTGTGTTTTCAGCAAAATAGGAAGCCACGATTTTTTGATAAGCCCATCTTTGATTCCTACCCGGAACCACCACTGTATGTCTTGGTTTTTACTTACATGGCCTATGTAATTGGAACCCTATTCGGCTATCTTAGAGACTTTATGAGAAGCTTGGGAATAGAAAAATGCAATGCAGCGGTAGAGCGGGAAGAACAAAAAGTACGTATGTTTGCCTCTCTGGATCTGTATCAGTGTCACTCTTCTCAGAAATGGTGATTCAGGTACAGAACCAATAAGGAATAGCATGTCCAAGAACCACTGAGCATAAATTCCATTCATCCCCACTCACTAAACCCTGTCTCCTATGTATTTGTGGCCTTGTTTTTTTTCATATTTATTAGAATGCTATTAATTGCCAGGAACAGAATTTAAGTTTTCTTGTTCATTATAATGTTTACCTTGAACAATGTTTTCATAAAGTAGATGATAAAAGATCATTTTAATTATGAATGGATCAATGTGAAAGACAGCAGTGAAAGTAAGAGTGCCTAGGGGGTAATCTTCCCTGGTCTTCTAGATTCAGTATCATTTGTGCTCTATTCCAAACTAAGAACACGTATCTAAATGAAATGTAACATTTCTGTTTTATCTAGGTCAGGATTTCTCAAAATTTGCAATTCTGATATACCTCACTAGTTGATTGAACTGTTTGGAAATCAGCCCTATGCATTGAAGGAACATACAGAGCATCCCTGGCCTCCACACACTAGATTTGTCATTAGGACTGACAGAAACACATAGAAATGATCAAGTGACTCCGTTTAGAACAGTCTGCCTAGATATTTTTGAAAATATCTATATTGCCTTGTTTCTGTACTGAGCTAGAGAATAAGCAGAAAGATATTTAGAGGCCTATCATGTATGTATATATAATAAGCTATTTGAAAAGTTCATACACATTTTTATCATTTGTTCCCTCCATCAACTCCTTCCATTTTCACCTGCTTCCCTGCACACCAAACTTCATGTCCTTTTTTTTTTTCTTTAACCTGTCAAGTACAATTTATGATGCCCAAATAGTCTTGGATGTGTAGCCTTTCACGGGAGCATGGCCAACTTACCAGAGGTTATACTCTTAAAGAGGTTATACTCTTAAAGACAACTACTTTCCCTATCCCAGAAGCCATCCATTATCAGTAGTTCCTCAGCTGCCAGTGGGACTTCCCACATGCCCTCTCTAGGCTGGAATTTGGTCTGCCTTGACTGTACAGATCTTGTGCATGCTTGATATAATGTGTGATAGCATATGCATAGCTGCTCTGCTATATGAGGAAGACACTATTTTCTTGTAGTCATCCACTCTGGTTGTTTTCTGTTTCTTTATTGTTTGTTTTGTTTTATTTTGCTTATTTGTTTTGGCCCCTTCTTCCCCAATGATCCCTAGGCCTTGAGAGGAAAGAGTGCAGTGTAGGTGATTCATTTAGTGTAGAGCATTCTACAGCCTCCTTTCCTCTGCACCTTGGCTATTTGAAAGTCTCTATGTTAACCACCATGTACTGCAAAGAGAAGCTTCTCCGATGAAAGCTGAAAGATGCACTATTCTTTGGGTACAATCTAAGAATAGGAGAATATCAGGACAGACATGGTCCCTACCTTTAAAGAACTAACCATAAAAAAAATGCTGACAAGAAGCATCAGAGATATACATAGAGAGCACTAGGACAGCTTTGAAAAAAATGCCCAACCTGAACGTGGTGTTGAGCAAAGGCTCCTAAGTTGAACAAAATTAAATTAAGCTATGAATGTGGAAGAGCAAGTGGTAAGGCAAAGGGTGCATATTCTTTAAGGATAGAACTGTGATACAAGATGGTCCAGGAATAAGAGGAAGTGTTGTCATATTCAAGGAATCAAAGAATTCTGATGCTTGAGTAAGAGAAAAAAGGACTGTGTGAAAGGCAAGTGGGGTCAGACATTAATTGTTTTATAATCAGTGAATGTTTATTATGAGAACATGCTGACAGATTTCTAGCAGAAGAATGTAGATTTGTAGATTTAGAAAGATTATTCTCTCTACACTATGAAAAATGGATTGCAGAAAGATGACACTGATACAAAAAAATCTAGGTGAAACAGTGGTTCTGGGACAAAGGTAGTGACAACAGGGCAGTGATAAGAAATAAAGCCAAAAAATGTTTAAGAAGTGGCACTGCAAATGGTCAATATGATTTGGAGAAACTGAGAGATAAAGACCATGCCTAGGGTTTTAGTATGGGTGGCTATACATGTGTTATTCATTGAGGTGGGAAATAGAGCAGAAAGATTGTCATAAATGCACAGTGATTGATACTTCTTTGGCAAGTCTAGTTTGTCAAGAATTAGCAGCTGAATTTATAAGGGAGCTCAGGATAAAACTCTCAAGGTGTATCTTGTGGCAACTCCCATGCTAGTCTTCAGCCTAGCAATGTGTAATAAGGCAAAAATGTATACAGGATTTCTAGAGCAGTTCCAGAAGAGCAAAGAGAGAAAAGAAAGATGAAATGAACTTCAGAGAATTTAATAGATGTCAGAGATGGAATTCCAATTGAAGACCAGAAGCAGATTGACACTAAGGAAGGCTGACAGTTGCTTGGAAATCACTTCTTTGTGAACTGTGGAGGAGGCTGATAAAATGAAAATGGAACTGCTTATGAAAAGATGCAGGCAGAGATCAAGTCTTGGTAGCTGACTGCATCTAGAAAAAAATAATAGAAGAAACACTGAATAACCTCAAATGTCTCACTTGGGCAGAGACATTGAAGGCAATGTTGAAGTAGTCAGCACAGCGAAGTAGTCCTTTAGTGACAATGATAGTGGTGATTCAGACCCAGCAAAAGCCTAAGTCTGTCTGGGAGCTCTGTGGATGGAAGGGCCCCTTAGAATCATTCTAACCTGAAGTAAGGGCATTGAGCCTTCAGGCTTTTGCATTGATGGGGGCTGCTATCAGAGACATAACTAGAGAAAAATTCCCTTCTGGCCCAGGAAATACCCAGAAAGATGTAAAGCCCCAATTTGTCCAGCAGTAAAAAGAATGGATAATTCATTCAGTCTCAAGTGACAGGCTGTGGGCAGCACACAATAACCTGTACTTCAGCTTTTGTCCCCAGTGTTACAATAATTGCTTGACCATAGGCATGGCAATAAGTAATTCAGTAATTTGCATTTCTGTATAAAATAGATAACTTCAGTCTGTTCTCTATGAGGCAGATTTATGCAATATACTCTCCTTATTAAGTATGATTTTAATATTTGTCCCATTTGAGCTCCTTTATAAATTTAGAGCCTTTTGGAGTAAATGGTAATAAGTATTGATGACTATACACTTTGGATGTGACTTAGTCTTCCCAATTCTCTCTTCAGTCTGACATTAGTTTGTTTTTGTTTTTGTTTTTGTTTTTAGTTTTTTGAGACAGGGTTTCTCTGTGTAGCTGTGGAGCCTATCCTGGCACTCGATCTGGACACCAGGCAGGCCTCCAACTCACAGAGATCTGCCTGCCTCTGCCTCCCAAATGCTGGGATTAAAGGTGTGCACCACCAACGCCCAGCCTGACAGTCAATATCCTTGCCTTGTGTTAACAATCTAAACAACGTCATGAAGACCCTTCACCAATACATGTGATAGGCTATTTTCCAATGACCTATGATTCTTTTAGTGAATTGAGCATTTTTGTATGTGTATCATCAGATGACTGTTGGATTTTTGTTTTGCTTTTACCACTCATGATGCTGCAGCTCTGTCCAAACTACTATTTTCTCTTACCCAATGAAATTGATGCCCATCCTTTAACCTTATGAGATCTTCTCAACAGACAACCAATATAATTCTTTTAAAACCCAAGGTTTAAAACCCACATCCTATCTTTGTACAGAACAAAAATCTATCCAAGTCACTAACTGAAAAACAGACCTGGACTAGGCTCTGCAGAATGTGGTCCCCTCTTTTATCTCTAATTCATCTTCTCTACCACTCTCCCTTGGCTCACTCTACTTCAAATACTAAAACCCCTTGCTCTTCCTCAACTCCTTCTGCTCATCCTATCTTCCTGCCACAATGGCCAGACAGTGATTTATTCTTCAGCCAATAAAAGAAACATATATACAGAAGGACTTCCACATCATGTTTTCTGACATTCTGTCACTTTTTCTATTGAAGCTTTATCTTTGACGCTTAGAAAATTTTCATTTTAAACTTAGCATATAAGTTTAAATAAAAGGAGAGGACTGACATAACAAGGACTGACATAACAAGTATAAATACTCTTTTATATCTATGGTTTTAGGTGGAATTTACTCTGTTCTACACCATATCCTCAAATGACTGTGTCTTCACTGATTCTATTACACTGAATTCTTTTTGTCAGAAATAGAAAAATTAAGTAAGCCAAATGATAAGTCAAATCTACAGATAGATAACAATAAGTCCTATCATAATCATTCTGTCTTCAAATACTAAATCTTCATTAGACTAATTTGCAAAGCAAGAAATAGTCTGAAAAGTTATGAAATCAAAGAGGAAACAAACTACGTATTTTCCTTGTGAGAGCATGAAAAGATGTTATGGCTCATCACATAAACTCATAGATTTTAATAATAAGACCTGTATCATGTCTATTACAGAAATTGAGTGATTTGAAGCTGTCAAATGTAATCAGTGGAGTGACAAATTTGCATGTAATAGGAATATCCTTCCATGCATGTTTATGAGCATTCTTTCCTACACAAAATCACAATTTCCCCCTGAGGATTCATGTCATTGTCATTGAGCACCAAGGTGTGAAGTAACAGAAGGGGATGTGACTGGGATACAGCCACTTGTCATGAAACGTAGCATATTCTCTTCATTTTTCTCTAGAGTCACCCAACTCAAGGAGTGAGTAGGCAAATCAGTAGCATATAACAATGGTCCATAATGGCTTGTCTATGGTCTTTTCTTGAGAAATGAGCTCCATACTATGAATGAGAGCAAAGAGGGTGACAATGAGAAAGCTCATTCTTAATTATTCAGCACCTTTCCATTGACTGTAGAATAAAGTTGAATCTCCTTAGACAGGATAGGTCTCCTTTGCTCTATGCCTATGTGACACACCAACCTTATCCACACTGTAGGAAAAGTTAGAAGGTAGGATAAGAAAGGTACTCAAAGGCCACACCAATCTTAACATTGGCTTTGAACAAGGTGAATTCTGAACAAAGGACAACAGGATGTACCAGATAGTTTATTCTCATTGTTTCTCCTCAAATGCTCTCTGTATTTCTAGCAAACAAATCTACTCACATTGTATAGCCTCCTCATTTATTCTTGCCCATCGCAACTTCATATGCCTTAACATCACCTACAAGGTTCTTTTACTTCAAAGTCTCCCCAATCCCTCCAACAAGTTGTGACTCTCCTGCTCCAGTCCTGTGAATGCCGAAAGCCCTTGACTCAGGCCATAGTTATGGCTTTTGTATTTTCTTCCTAGCATCAACTGTTATTTGCCAAATGACAAAATCATAGTTCATGTTCTCCATTGAACCTCAGCTCATTGCATATCTTTACATTCATGGGTAACATTTTGTACAAGAACATAAGCTTGTACATACCTCTCCTATAAGAGAGGCCTGATCCCTCTACAACCTTGTCAGTTCAGTTCCTGGCCCTCAGCATGTCACAGCTCTCTGCCAACAGAAGCTTGGCAGTTACTTCTAATTGTTTCCTCAAAACACTATCACATTCCTCATGATTAATGAAGACTCCTACAGTAGTTTATATCCACCTATCCTTCTGAAAGCACAATGCATGAGGGCATTTAGACTCAAAGACCAATACTAATATTTCAACTACTTTTTCCAACTGAACTGCTTGAGTATCAATACATCCCAAACCTCCAAGTAGAATAACCCCTTTTATTGGACAGTAAAGAAACTCTGAATCTGTCATATTCTCTTGAATTGAGTTAGCATCTTTGTTATCCTTTTTTACTTGACAAGACCAATGATTGAATCTAGGATCTTCTATATAAAGCCTACCACAGAGATACCTCACCAGCCATTTGATTCTACTATTTGTCTGGCAGAGTCTCATTAAATTGTCAAGACTAATTTTGAACTTACTCTGTAATCTAGGCAGGCTTTGAATTTGCAGTCTGCTTAACTTGGCCTCCAAAAAGCTGAAATTTTAGACATGTGCCAGACAGCCCCCATTTTTTCCACTCATACTTAGGGGAAGGTTCTTTAGGCATGAAGGCCCCACAGTTTTGTGAGCTCCATCTGCTGCACCATCCACCTGTGCTTGCCCAACAAAAGACCTCTTTGTTAATTTCACTGGGATCTTTCACGTCTCTTAGATTTCAACTTTTCTTTTAAGAAAGAAAAGAAAAAAGGACCAAAGCTAACCTGTGGTGATATCTTGTTTGTGCTCTAACAAACAAAGCTCACCTGGAGAACAGAACATAGAGCTAGCTACTAGTTAACCGTAGAGGCCAGGCAGTGGTAGCATATACCTTTAATCCCAGACACTTGGGATATCATGCCTTTGATTCCAGTACTTGGGAGGCACACACCTTTAATCACAGCACTAGGGAGGAGAAAACAGAAATAATATGTTTAGGCAGAGACAGGAGCTAGCCTCTTTTCGGTCTGAGGATTTCATAGACTTAAGAACTTTAGTGGATGGCTGCTTTACTTCTCTTATCTTTCAGCATTCACCCCCTAATATCTGACTCTAAGTTTTTATTATTAAGACCTATTAGAACTCGTGCTACACTAACCTTCTACCTCCACTTGTGTCAAAACAGGATTTTGTGCCACTCTATCAGGACTTTGAGAATTTTTATAAGAGGAACCTTTACATGAGAGTCAGAGACCTCTGGAATCAGACTGTCTGCAGTGCCCCAGGGCCCTACTTTGACATGATGGAGAAAGTGTCTGATGACCGTAACTGGACATTCAGGTAAAGCAGTCAGCTGGGAGGGCTTAATGGGTAAACACTTGGGGAATTCTAGCAGGGACACCAGTTGCAGATCTGAAAACCTAATGTGCAAATGAGGCTTATCTTCATCTGCTCATCCATTTGCAACTTCTCTTGATATGGTGGAAGAAAAGTGATTAAGTGGCCAAGGTCACTTCTTTACATTATAATTAGGATTATAACTGAGTCAGCATGTTCACAGCACAGAGAGACAACCTGAAAGAGCCTTTGTCAACTTCTTTGTCAAGTTGTACCTTCCTGCTTTCTCAATGATAGATTCAGTGATGACTGGCTTTTTTTTTTCTTTAGAAGGTTTTATATCACTTTCAAACAGAACTTGGGTATCATAAAATCAGTCATTCAGGGAAAACCAGTGCCTAGCAAAACACTGGGGGCAAAGGCCCTTTCACTAATGTGCTTCACTTCACTATCAGGTTATATTCCTCAAAAAAAAAAAAAAAAAAAGAAGGAGAAGAAGAAGAAGAAGAAGAAGAAGAAGAAGAAGAAGAAGAAGACTATTCCAAGAACAGCACAAGTTAAAATGGAAAAGACAATGAGAGGCTTGGGGCAAACTGAAATCTTTGAGGGAGTAGGACATCAATTGCATTCATTTGCTTATCTCCCTACAGGCATACTGGAAGAGTTATCAAGAATGTTGTCAATATGGGCTCCTACAACTATCTTGGGCTTGCAGTCAAATATGATGAGTCAATGAAGTCAGTAAAGGATACTTTAGAAAAGTATGGTGTAGGTGTGGCCAGTACCAGACATGAAATGGGTAAGTACATTGATTAATTTGAAATTTTGTCTTGTTGAGTCAGGATTGTATTGATGTTGTATGCCTCAAATAAATGTGAAAAAATTGAAGAAGGGGAGGAGAAAGAAGAGGAGGCAAAGAAAGAAAGAGAGAGAGGGAGGGAGGGAGGGAGGGAGGGGAAGGAAGGAAGGAAGGAAGGAAGGAAGGAAGGAAGGAAGGGAGAAGGGACATATGCACCTCTTTTAAAATGTCAGTCATCCTGTTTTGTCACACATATTTTTAAGTGTGTGCTTATTTCTTCTGAACAGGTCAAAATGGGCCTTTCCAGCCAAACTTCTAAAATAGCAACTATCATGTTTCCTTCAGGACATCCTTTTTCTTTCCTTTCCCTATTTTTCCTAATACCATCCATCACTGATTAAAATAATCTTGCTGCTGTATATGTATATGCATGTCTTTAATACTCAAAATGTGAATATCCTGAGCAGAGGGATTGGCCTTCTGAATGCTGTGGTGAATTAATTAATTAATGACAGATGAATTATTGAAAATGCAAAATGGAGCACACTATTTTCTTTTCTTTTGGGAAACAAAACAATTTGTTTTCTCATAGAAAGAGAAAATGTATAGGAAAGCAATAACATGTCACACAAAACATGGTACATATTTCCTCCTGCTAAATGCTTTGCAACTCTTCATCATGTTGTTGTTGTTGTTGCTTTTTAATGTAGCATCTCACTTATTCTTTAAGCATTCCTGTGCTCAGGGCAGCCTGTGTGGTACTATTCCTAGATTCTGGAGGAGAAAACTCAGGATCATGGGACCTAGATGATATTCTCTGCCCACCCCACATTTCAGTTCAGGTCAGCTTCTTTACTCTCTATCCAGGAAGCAAATGCAGGGTACACCCGCCAGCTTGGCTCAGGCCTACCTAAGACTGCAGGCAAATCTGGTCAACAAGACTTAACAATGAGTAACAAATCACAAGTCCCTCTCAGACAGCCATTTGGCAGATGGGCTTTAAAAACAATGCAATTAACTAGATGTGGTAGATGATTACATCCTTAGGATTATCATACTATGTCCATAGATACCTTTAAGTGTAATTATTCAGATATGTGAAACAAATAACTCAAATTAAAGCAAATGAATTTTTAATAATAAATTTAAATTTTATAACATTTGAAACTATTTTGCTAATTCTTTGAGAATTGTATAAAATGTATTTGATCACATTCACCTGAACTTCTATTCTTAGCTCCTCCCAGATATACTCCTACCCCATCCATACACACCTCTCCAAATTCCTGTCCTCTTTTATCTTTACTTAATAACCATTGACAACATTTGTGCTGTAATGCACCCCTGGGTGTTGAACCATCCATTGGAAAGCAGTCAGTGTACCAGGAGTCATATCCTGAAGAAAACTGACTTTTCCCTCCCAGAAGCCATTAACTATTCCTAGCTCCTCAGTTAGGGGTCAGACCTCATGAACCCCTTCCAACCCCACGCTTCAATATTCACTAGGATTGGTCTTATGAGGGTCTTGTGTAAACAGCGATAAGTACTGTGAGGTTTATGACAGTCCTGCTTCGTCCTCTGTGGTATCTGGCTTTTACAGTCTTTCAGACCCGTCTTCTGTGGTGGTCCCTCAGTCATAGGGAGGGATGTGATATAGATCAACCATTTGTGGCTGAGCATGCCAAAAATACTTATTCTCTTCACTTTGAGCACGTATGAATTTCTACATTAATCTCCATCTACTACTGATGGTTTCTGATGAGACCCAAGAGCTGCACTAATCTGTAGGTAGAGAGATATGAATTTGAGGGCAGTTTTATACTATGTCCATTTAGCAAAAATAGTAATAGCAGATTCACCCCGGGGCACATAACCTCTTCAGCCATGATTCTTGTGTATATTTCATTGTGAGGCATGTATGTCCTCCTAAGAAGAAGGCCTTAAGTCCAAGAAGAAAGCATTGACTATTGAATCTATGGATATATCTTACCACCCCAGTCAATATTACAGTTCACAGGGTTCACAGTTGGCTAAGATTGATGATGACTTTTCCTCCAGCAGCCTACATAAGACCTTCCAGTACTATGAGAGCTAGCCAGCAGGGAACAAGCTTCCTACTCATTACCAACTTGGTTTCTCTATTTCACTTGATCAATACATGTGTTGTCTTCAGCAATACGACCTTATCATCAAATTCTGATGGGCAACCAAGAGCAATGACAATGGCTGGTATTGTTTTAGAGTCTCCAGGACACCTTTGACCAACAACTCATGGGGTTTTATTACACATCTGCCACTAGGATTTTGATTTGATGTCATGTGGTTTCTAGGATGAATTTAATTCTCTAAGTAGGATAACTCCAATTAAACTTTTTCATAAGAATATGTATTCACATGTATATATATACATATATATATATATATATATATATATATATATATGTATCCATATATATGATGCCTATAATAAGCAGGCTTCTATATGGCTTTTTCAAACACTTTTAGTATTAAAAATCTAATACTAAAAATCTACAAATACAGTAAATATTTGGTTAAAGCTCCAGAGCCAATCATGTTTGCTCATACTACTTAGCAAGGACTTCTTGTTAGTTTCTATTTGGCATTAGAGATAGAGCTATAAATGAGGTGGCACTGGGTTATGGGGCAGAGGCAGTTCTACTCCACTTAGACACGAGATACCCATAATGTTTTGTTTGAAGAGGGATCAAACACTGGAGGAACAACTCCAGCTATAAAAGGGACAGAGTGACTTCTATGGGATGTTGCTTCAAGAGCTGGTAACACTAGTAGTAGAGTTGCATATAATCAAGTCAGAAGACAGTATTGAAGAACACCTCAACTCAGTGAGAGAAAACATCTCTTCATCATAGTAGATGAAAACCAAAGGAAAAGGCAGCTGGACACAGACAATGATTTGCTGCCAGAGAAAGCCAACTCCAGATAGATCCCTGGTTGTGCAGATTAGCAAGCCCAGGGAAATTAGGCAGGAGTAATTTTCATTAATATTCTTTCTCCATACCAATAAATGGAGAAATAGTTGGAGAAAGATTACTATTCTTAGTATTCTATATTCTATATAAGCTATATTAGTAATACATATAATATAATGTATATCTCAGTAAACTATATTCTTATCCTAGTTCATACCCCCAAATCTCTTCCATTCATCTGAGTCAAATTCTAGAAGAGTAATTTTAATGGGTTCCAAGCAAATAATTAAAGACCCAAGACAAGCTACCTACACTAATCATAAAAAACAGGATAAAATATGAATCTATGCCTTCTTTGATGGAGTAAATAAGCTAGAGGGATTATTTGAAAGCATTCTGCAACATAAAAAGGAAAATTGACATGCACTACTTACAAATGTCATTGTTCTGAGAGCAATTTATCTAAAATAATATCAAGTAACTGGACTGGAAAACATGTTTCATAGTCTTAAGAAAATGTTTACTGTTGCAAATTGAGTAACAACAGATTTGCCTCCTAATAGGAAAAGACATATTTTGCACTTCCAGTGAGTTCAAACTGATTTGGATACTTCTACCCTAGAGACCACACTCTAAGAGGACTACCAGAAACTAGATAGCCTGGCTAACTTTCCAAAACTACAGTGGTCTTTTACTTTGTTTATGATAATCACATATGCCTGTCAGATCATATCTGTCAGTGGAAAATGACTAGTAGCTAAGAGACACCAAGAAAACTAATGAAGTGAGTTAGTTTTGATCATTGAACATATCCTGGCACATGCTGCTCCCCATATCTTGAAACCAAGGAAAGGCTAAATTAGGAGAATACCGCAGCCTGTGAACCCAGCTCCCAGAACTGCACCAGGGTTGCTGAAAGAATACCTTCAGAGCAGCAGGGCTTAGGAAACATTCCTATATAACTGAGAAAAACAAGACATAGACATAATCTGAGGGCCACACACTTTATTCTTTTTGGCTCTCATTCTTCTCTAAATCTCATTTGCTTTTTTGTTCACACAGCTTATATACACATTCAACAACACACTTTGGCAGTAAAAAGGTTACATAGGCTATTTCTCAGGGACATAATGCATTCCTTTGGTAAATGATAAGGGACAGAGCCATTTACCATGGCAACGCATAGGCAGGGACATGGTGTTTGGTATTTTCCCAGGCAGTGGCAATGAAGGCATCCCAAACCTAAAAATACATTTCCTTATCCTGCATGCAGGAGAGAAGTTTGTAACATTTTTATTAAAGGCTATGAGGCCAGACATCCTCTGTAGCCCTGGCTATCAAGACTGTGAGGCCAGACCATCTTCTGTAGCCCTAGCTATTTGTGAAACTTTTCCCACAAAAAGCTGTTTCTCTCTGGACTTTTTTAATGTTTAATTGCTATTCTTGCCCTCCATATAAATTTTAGGACAAACATAAACAGTTAGTTAGCTGAGCCTTGAATATTGTACCCAAGGTTAGAAGTTTGTGCATAGTGTTTATTGCTAAGGAATTTAGTAGAGCGTAGCCACTGGTCTCCATTATCAGCCAGACCTGGCTAGAAAAACTGGCATAGTATATTAGGTTGCTTTGTGCTTAATAACCTTGATTCAGACATCTGTAACTCTGTCCTTGTGCATAACCTGTGAAAGATTAACTTATGATCCATTCACAGATACATCCAGTCTAGTTTGAATTTGTTCTTGAGGTTCTGAATCAATTAATTGTATGTGGCTTGTCTTAGAACTGAGAAGAAACTGTTATTTATGCCAGTATGAGCTAGTGATTAAAAAAGAAACAGGGCCTAAGTGTCTTATAGTCCTCATGAATAATAGATCTGGTTATGAAGCATATCCTAGTAAATTTTCTATATATCAAAATTATACAGTTAATGATGAATAGTCTGACTATTCACAGATATATGTGCCCATAAGATTGAGATGTAGTCATGAGATTACATATCACATGAAATTACACATTATAGTATAGGTATTGGGGACATACCATAGCTGT